CATTTCTGGTTTGGTCGTCAAATTTCGACGCTTGCATGGGGAGAAGAGGGCGACATTGGAGGCAGAACAGAGCATCCTCTGCTTCTCTTTCAAAGAAAAAAGGAAAAAGTAGCCATGGCGGAGGCGGGGGCAGCCACCACCACAGTGTTAGTGGATCAAAACCTAAAAGGGCACCATCTCCACCTCAAAACAAGGCACCAGTGCCACCTCAAGTTCCCAAGCCAATAGACGACACTCCACCAAGTTCTCCACAGAAAGGTTCATCCACTTTTAATGTGCTAGATTTTGGTGCTAAGGGTGACGGCGGTACCGACGATACCAAGGTTCGTAGTTCCTTTAAGCTCATCATGGTTTTACTCTGTTAGCCAATTAAGGACTAATCAATCATGATCAAGGGTTAATTAAAATATCTTCATAGAAAAAAAACATTTGAGCTTTGATTAGAAATGTTGCTAGGTTTGTACACTACATAGCTCCTTACCGTTATGGAGTCAATTTTCGCTAACTGCAAATCATAAATTGATACATATACTGAAGTGACTATTAACAAAACAGTGAGGAACGAGAAAATACATGTAAGGAGTCTAATATTTTCCGCTGCATTTACGAATGTAGCTCATGATATATGAAAATGACAAGGAATTCCAACATGCTTCTAGCCGTAACGTAGATGACAGGTAGCCAATTAATCATTGAGAGAAACAAAATAGTTATTTTGGCAAACGTTTTGCCTTTTTGAATCATTTGCACGTGACTCTTTAGGGTTAATAACTTTACGTGACATGCTTTGGGTTAGATGGTAATTTTATCCAAATTATGAAGAAGCATTGTGGTCAGTTTTATTAATTTAATTTTTCCATTAAGTATACTTTTTGTAAGTTCTACCTCTTTATAATTACAATTTAATACAATGATTAAACTCACTAGGAGAGGATCCTCGTCGGATCCTCTTTGTGAGAATCCTGAAGATCCTCCAATTACATACGTTCATCGTATATCATGCGGTTAAAAACCATTGTAAATTTTTTTATTTAAAATTGAATATAAACAGTACCTAACAAAAACTGACAATACGATATACGATGAACATATGTGATTGAAAGATTCCCGAGATCCTTTCTCACTAGGACAACAGAACAAACCAAACTGGTGGGGCCCAATCGGCCCACTGAACAAATTTTATTCTCGTTACGGCAGTTGGGTTGTTACGGTTCCAACAATAATTGTATACGGTTCTGCACAACAAACTAACGCCATTTTCTACGGATTTGGATCCTCTCCCGAGCTAATGCAGAGGATCTTCATGACTAATCATCGTGGACCGTTAGATCTTTATCCAACGGCTATAAACAAGATATCCTTTTAAAATTATAATGATTGTAGCCGTTGGATAAAAATTCAACGGCCCATAATGATGGGTCAGGAGAATCCTCTCCAAGCTTAGGAGAGGATTGAAATCCATTTTCTACTGTTAAAGATTACCAACTGTAATTATTATAGTTTCTGACAGAGGGATTTTGATACGGTGTGACGCAGGCATTCCAAGCTGCATGGGCCGCTGCTTGTAAAGTTGAGGCATCAAATATCATTGTTCCAGCCGGTTACCAGTTCCTCGTGGGTCCCATCTCATTCTCCGGCCCTTACTGCCAGAAAAACATCCTTTTCCAGGTAAAAATACATATACACACAGTAACAGAGGTAAAAAGTAACAAAATAAGAAGAAAGCAAAGTGTGGGGAAGTGATCTCAATCCAAAGGTTAATGGGAATTACTCGAATTGTGTGGACGACTGTTCTTAGCATTCACTTAATTATGATTTCCGTCTTTTGTCTAATGTACTAATGACGAGGTGAATTATGAATTTCTCAGCTGGATGGTACGATTGTAGCGCCGACGGACTCGGAATCATGGAGCAAAGGTCTGTTCCAATGGCTTGAATTTACAAAGCTAAATGGAATCACAGTACAGGGAAAGGGAGTGATTGATGGAAGAGGCTCATCTTGGTGGCAAGACACTCCTTATGGAGACCCTATAGATGATGATTTCAAACTCATTGTGCCACTAAACAGCTCAGTCCAACAACGCCCGCCAATGCCGGTAATTAAGCTAAACTGCATTGTATTTGAACATGAAATTTCACGATCGTCGAGCTTAATTAAACTAATCATCATCCCGTGAATGAAATCTGTGGCAGATAAGAAGCGAGCTGAGCGGGAAAATGCCAAGCATCAAACCGACCGTAAGGACCACTTGTGTGCCAAAATCTTGAAGCTTATGTGATCTTGAGTCTTGACCTGCAGTTTCAGTAACATGATTTTTGTACTTTTGTTGATTGTACAGGCATTGCGATTTTATGGGAGTTTTAATGTGACGGTCACAGGCATAACGATTCAGAATAGCCCCCAATGCCATCTCAAGTTCGACAACTGCCAGGGAGTTCTGGTCCATGATATGAGCGTCTCGTCCCCTGGGGACAGTCCCAACACAGATGGAATTCACCTCCAAAACTCCCAAAGAGTGCTCATCCACACCACTACTCTTGCTTGCGGTAACTATACGTCTTACCCTCCAATATCTACTCTTAGCATGGCGCACTGTGTTTGACTCAAAGATTCCGCACTTGGTTATTATCTCTCTTTGGGGAATTCCATGAGCAATCTTATCCTGCCTGCAGCCTTGTGTATTGGCATCTTCCATCGGCAATCCTCGACCACTAAAAGTTTGACACACAACAACAGGCAATCTGCTACATTCCAAGAATCATAGCAACCTCCCATGTGATGCATTGCACACCCAATATCATCATTGGTCTATCCAATTTAGGATTAGGTCTCAACCCCCACTGACAACTCTTGGTTTGTAGTATTCGCAACCCTCAATCGATATTTTGTCATCATCGGATGCCAGAACCACTGCTGAATTCCCTTGCCATTCTCTCCAGTTCAACTTAAAAACAGCCCACATACAACAAACAACAGATAAGAAGGAAAAAATATCAAGCATGTCAGTTCACATCACAATGTGTCCTAAGAACTAACTAAAGACAAATTTAAGCAGAAAATTGCAAACCAACAGACAAGGCATGAAATGGGCACAGACTTAAAACCAAGTCGATTAGTATAACTGTCATGGATTAATATTAAACTAAATTGTTTCAATTCTAATGATTTGTGCAGGAGATGACTGCATTTCCATACAAACTGGATGCACAGATGTATACGTACACAACGTGAACTGTGGACCAGGGCATGGAATCAGCATTGGAAGTTTAGGAAGGGACAACACGAGAGCATGTGTTTCAAACATTACCGTTCGAGACATCATTATGCACAATACCATGAATGGTGTCAGAGTCAAAACATGGCAGGTATGAATTCACCTAAAAGTTTTAACACATCATTCCTACTGATTGTTAGACTTTAACATACAACTCTCTTCTGCATCAAATAATCAAATGTCGACTGCAAAACAATCTCAGTGACGCTAGAAATGAGTATTACGAATTGTCTTCTTCATGGGATCTAACGCCACGTCGAATTAGTTTCTAATGCTTGACAACTTACCCTTTTCTCTTACTCATATAACTGAATCCTAAATGTGCAGGGTGGATCAGGCTCTGTTCAGGGAGTGCTGTTCTCAAACATTCAAGTTTCTGAAGTTCAACTCCCTATTGTGATTGACCAATTCTACTGTGACAAAAGCACATGCAAAAACCAAACATCAGCTGTGGCTCTGTCGGGGATCACCTACGAGAGAATAAGAGGAACATACACCGTAAAACCAGTACACTTCGCCTGCAGTGACAGCCTACCTTGCGTAGACGTAACATTGAATGGCATAGACCTGAAGCCATTGCAAGAAAATTATCACATGTACGACCCCTTCTGCTGGCAGACGTTCGGGGAGTTGAGAACCCCGACAGTCCCACCCATTGGTTGTTTACAGCTTGGCAAGCCATCGAGCAACAAAGTTAACTCAGATCACGATGTATGTTGAAATTTTTAGTACCAAGTATACATATGTATATCTGATGACGATGGTGTATTCACTTTGTGTGGTCGGCATGATTTCCTGACCCCTTTCGCACCATCAGCTTGCTTGGTAATTGGTATAGTGTGTGTATAATTTGGCAGTCCTAGTTTTACAGGAATTCTTCATCATCGTTATTAAAGGCTTACATTTATATCCTGAAGTTTTACAAGGTATCATCATTGTATTTTCATCCAAAAAAACATAAATTACAGAACTTCCATTAATTGTCTACACTCTGGTGACTCTACAGCTTAAAAAGCAAGCAGATTTAACATTATGTATGGAAAAAGTACAACCAAGAGAGTCTGCCCTACAACCTATGAGAGAAACTTACATGAAACAGGTGCACCGCCAGTTTGTGATCCTAATCCTATCACATGTTGCAAGGTGGTTTAACTTTTCCACATGACAACGTAGGTTTGGGACGCCAAAGGAACAATGTACATGTTTCGTGTAAGTTCTTCGGGATCGAGATGCATCCCCTTGTCTACAACTCTATCACTAGTGTCTCTCAGTCCGTGTAACAGTGATGTAGACACAAGGAGATACCGCGGTGACGCTGACACATCAGAATTTCCCCCAAATAACAGAGTAACACACATATACCATTCAACAGAAAACAACAGAAGGAGATTAATTCTAGCAATTGAATTTCAAACAGATTAGGGATTAAAATTGAAATCCAGATCAGTCTTTAAGATACATACTACAGATGGCACAATAAGTAGATTAATTAGTGCAAAATAAGAAAATTAATTACCATTTATAACAGCAGATTAAAGCATGAAATCCCATCCGTGCATACTTACAATTTCATAAATCATATGAAATACAAAGAAATTTATCACAAGAAGTTTGAAACCGCACCGTTTTCGTCCTTTCCCTGGATTCTGATTTCATTTCTGTAATCTGAAATTCTGGATGCGCGCACCATGCTTGCGAATTGCAATGGCAGTTTTACCTCTAGGGCTTGGCGCCAAAAACGACGCCGCAGGAGGAACTTTGACGAAACGCACCGTCTCGCTGTTCGCGCCTTATCTTATCCCATCCAAATATCTCATCCTTAACCTCCCAAATCCAAATTCCAAAGCTTTGGCCATTTTTCCGGTTTTCCTTCAATGGCAGAGAGCTCAGAGAAGGACCTCATGACCACCGCGAGTAGGAGGGTGGTCTCCATCGCCAACCACCTCAGTCCGGCCCATCTATCTCCCATCTCCCCCGCAGTTTCTCTATCCAACGCCTCCATGAACGACAGCTACCACCGCACCCACGGCGAGGTCTCGACTCACCAAGTTGTTTGGAAAAATGCTCGCGACGAGTCTGGCGAAGAATTCACCGACATCATTTACGAGAAATCAGCCGGCGAAGCCATTGCAAAGGTCAGGCTCCTCAGGTTGGTTTTGATTAATGAGTCCTAATTACTGAGTCCAATTTGGAGATAATGAGATTTGATGTGTCTAAATCTCGCGCTTTCTGTAGATTACGATTAATAGGCCGGAGAGAAGAAACGCGTTTCGGCCGCAGACTGTTAAGGAGCTCATTCGCGCGTTTAACGATGCCAGGGACGACGGCTCCGTAGGCGTCGTCATTCTTACCGGGAAGGTACCTCCTTAACTTACCCTCTTTTAGTTCTCTGACTTCTAATTGAGTTCTGAGAAAGACAGGAAATGAAATTTACTAATCTGCAGCAAATTTAAAGGCTTTCTACCGGCTGCAATGGTGGAAAGCAATCATGCCTATGCATCCTGATGCTGTTTGATCCCAACGATTTCCCTCCCCCCGGGAACAAGACAACTAGCTAGTAATATGGTGCAAAGATGTCAGCTTTACTCTGTTTTATTGGCAATTTGATGTTTTCAGGGAACCAAGGCATTCTGCAGTGGTGGTGATCAGGCTTTGAGAGGCAAAGATGGATATTCTGATTATGAAGATTTTGGTCGTCTTAATGTTTTGGATTTGCAGGTATATATATTAATATTTTTATTTTTATTTTTGTATGATTCTGTAACATTTTATATGTTAATACTGGGCAGTGAATGAATAATTGTTCTTGCTGTTATATAATTCAGGTCCAGATTCGACGTCTTCCAAAGCCAGTAATAGCCATGGTATGCTCTTGTTAACCTATTTTGCATTAGGCCTTTGTTGTTGGACAGTTGGAAAGCAGTGAAACTTAGACTTCGCTGGTTCTCGAAAACTTTGCCTCCACCCCAAATTAGTGAATGCATGATCTGTTGTCAATGTTAAATGGTTTATCAGGTGGCTGGTTATGCAGTTGGGGGTGGACATGTATTACACATGGTCTGTGATCTAACCATTGCAGCAGACAATGCTATTTTTGGTCAGACTGGTCCTAAGGTACTCGTATCATATACCTTTATTCTGGTTAGTCACAAAGTTTTAATTTTGGTTGGGATGCTAAACTAATGAAACTTACAAACTTGCTTTTCGTTTCATCTTCAATCTAAAGAATGGGTGAGAGCAGCATGCTAACATACAGAAACCTCACAACTTGTAAATTTGACAGGTTGGAAGCTTTGATGCTGGTTATGGGAGTTCAATCATGTCCCGTTTGGTAAGAATCGATTCAAGTTGATTTATGTTATGCAAATACTTGTTTCAAATTACTCTCACTTGGTATGTGGCGGACTACCTTTAATGAATGGCTTTGGTTAATCAGGTCGGGCCTAAAAAAGCACGAGAAATGTGGTTTATGGCAAGGTTTTACACAGCTGCTGAAGCTGAGAAAATGGGACTTGTTAACAATGTTGTACCAGTAAGTTTACTCCCAATGCGACACAGATCTCATCGTATGGTGTATGTCCTATCTTATGTAGTATAAATTGAGTACAAATGACTTTTTCCTCAAAAATGAGCCTTATTGCACTCAAAGTTTGCAGAAGATAGCATCTTCACTGTTTTATACTGTTATCCAGCTGGAGAGTTTAGAGCAAGAAACGGTTAAATGGTGTCGAGAAATGCTAAGAAACAGCCCAACTGCACTTCGGGTGCTGAAATCTGCTCTTAATGCGGTTGACGACGGTCATGCTGGACTACAGGTACTTTCAGTTATCATGTGTATTTCTAGAGATTCCGCACTCTTATTCATATATCCGTGTGCTAACTACCTTGCCAATGTTTCCAATGCAGCAACTTGCTGGAGATGCCACACTCTTATTCTATGGCACTGAGGAAGGGAATGAAGGGAAGACGGCTTATATGCAACACAGGCGTCCGGATTTCTCAAAGTTTCCCAGGAGACCTTAATGCTGAGCAGTTTCCCAGCAGACTTGGACCCCTTGGCCACTTGTTCGTTTGCTTTTCCTCCCTTTCCCCCCTTTTCGGATAAATGCTTTGGTTTTGAAGCTCCGACGTTGGTGGAGAGGAGTTCAAATAATGCCCTGCTGCCATTGTTTTGAGTTAATAGTTTGACTGGTTTTTTCAGACTCCAGAAAAGTAATTTGTTCAAAACTCTTGCTCATAGTGAGATTTCTACTCTTCCAATTGCATCTTTGGAAGTTCGGTTGTGCATTTTCTAGCGGTAGTTTAAACTACTCTTCTAGTTGCATTTTTGGGTAATTCAAATTCGAGTGTTAGCTAGCCTAACCCACGTAAACATTTAACTACTATATTTTGGTTGAAAGGAAATTTTTAACTTTCTAATTTCTAATGTGTGGTTATTGACGAAAATGAAAATAAAGGAGGAGAAATGGAGAACATAAATCAAACTTTCAAAGACACAAAGTGACAAAATGCATATCGAGAAGTGTATATGATATCTTTTTTAGAAGCATTGTACAACACTTTTCCCACTCAAAAGCCTTTTTTATTTTTCACTATTTTATTATTTTCCCTTGTATATTCTTAGATGAAAATAATGAACCTTATCAAATAAATACAAATAATAATAAACAAAAAAAAACTTTGTTCTCGCAAAATAAGAAGGAAAAAGAAAAAAAATGAACTTCGGAGTGAATCTTACTGGGTTTATAGCTTCAAGAAAGCCCAGTAAAGTAACGACCCAAAACTCCTCCCGCTTCAAGCTGACGTGGCAACCTTCCTCCGCCTGCTCAAGCAAACTCCCCCGAGTTCGCATTGCTCCCACTCCACCTCGATTCAGAAAACTCTGCTTCGGAATCACGTCCTCGACCGAACTCCAATTCGACTTCCCCACCCCCCAATTCGCTACCAGAAAACCCTAAATTATGAGAAAACACAGCTCCTAAAACTGTAGAAGCCATGAGCGGGAACGAGTTCCGCTTCTTCTTGTCCTGCGACATCAACCTCCCAGTAACCTTCCGGATCGAACTGCTAGAAGGAGCCTTGCCTCCCTCCAAGTCCCCTAGCTCCGGTACATTTTCTCACTCAATTTTCTGTTTGGTTCCCGATAAAATATTTTTACTCAGTCAACGTTCTTCAATTCAGTTTTTCTTTTTTTTTTTTTTTTTTTTTATGCACTGCAGATGTTGATCCCGCTTTCGCAACAGAAGAGAGAAATTCAGAGCTGTATGTGGAGTGTGCATTGTACATTGATGGTGCTCCGTTTGGGCTTCCCACCAGGACAAGGTTTTTTCCCCTTCGCTGGTTTTTTCCGACTTCAATTGCATCAATCCTGTTATTATAGGTTTTGAAATTTTGTATCTTCTGCTAGGTTGGAATCTTCAGGACCATTATATTGTTGGAACGAACTCGTTACTCTGAGTACCAAATACCGAGACTTAACCGGTCACTCACAACTTGCTCTAACAGTATGTTTGCTGTTTCACTTCACATCTTAAACAATTCGGTTTTCTGTAATCCCTTGTATATTAAGCTATTAACTAGTAGTTCACGATGGTATCCATAATCTTTTTACTCGTTGGAAATATAGGTTTGGGATGTTTCGTGTGGGAAGGATGAAGGGTTGGTTGGTGGTGCTACAATTCTTCTTTTTAATAGCAAAAAGCAACTCAAAACAGGGAAGCAAAAGCTGAGGCTTTGGAAGGGAAAAGTAGCAGACGGGTCGTTTCCTACTTCTACTCCTGGAAAGGTTTCTGATTGTTTCTTTTTAAGCAGTTACAGATATGGGCCTTAGCGTTGTTCCTTGATTTTTCTTAATCGGTTTAGCTTTGTTTATGTATCCCTCATTTAATTTTTTTATAGGTCCCCAGGCATGAGCGCGGGGAGTTGGAACGCTTGGAGAAGCTTGTGAATAGGTATGAGAGGGGGCAGATCCAATGTGTTGATTGGCTGGACCGCCTGGCTTTTAAAGCTATGGAGAGAATAAAGGAACGGGAAAGCTCTAAAAATGGAAGTTTGCATTTATACCTGGTTGTCGATTTCTGTAGTTTCGAACATCGTGTTGCTTTCCAGGTAACCCCAGTCTGCAACTAATCTGAAGTTATCAAAGTTACCTATTGGCTGATATTTAACTATAACTATTTGGTTAGATTTTGAAATTTAGTTGGTGCTATTTTTCTATAGACAAATGCATGCTTATATGGAATGTTAGCTTATGTTGCTATTTAAACTCTTCGTTTACTCTGGAACTCAATACTTATTGTTATCACGTCTTGAAATAAGTAACTAGCTTTTAGTTGTTATTTGCCGTGGATGATGAGTTTCCCTAGCACTAACCTTTATTTATTGGAATCTAGGAATCGGGGGCAAATTTCTTGTTACCGTCCCCAATAGCTTCAACAAATGAAATTGTCACGGTCTGGGACCCAGAAGTGGGAAAGATGAATCCATCAGAGCACAAGCAACTAAAACTCGCAAGGAGTTTAACCCGTGGTATCATTGACAGGGATCTCAGACCAAGCTCCAATGAAAGAAAGTAAGTTCAAAATTTACTCTAAAGGTTCATATGTTGGTTAACAGTGTTTTCATAAATTTTAATTGTCACAATTACGTTCATACAAACTCATGTATTGCTGATTAATTGGCAGGAACTGTGTTCTACTTTAATGGTACCAATTATATATATGCAGATGGTTCTCACTTGGGATCAGTTGTTGTGTAATGGTTGAATTAATTATCATTGGATTTTGTTAGTGTCGTATTATAGATGGACCAGTCTTCTCATTTTGCCATATTCTTTAGTTTCAACATCACTGCTATATATTCTTTTGATTGATTTTTTTTGTTAAGTAAGCTGGAGATGTATAATTGTTTGCCTTTTCCTGTAGGTCAATACACAGGATTCTGAAATACCCACCAACGAGGACTTTGACTGGCGATGAAAGGCAGCTCCTCTGGAAATTTCGTTTCTCATTGATGTCAGAAAAGAGGGCCCTCACAAAGTTCCTCAGATGTGTTGAATGGAGTGATATTCAGGTCTGCATTTCTTTCTTCTTCCTTCTCATCATTTTCCCCTTTAGCCATTAGTTCATGTGCCATATTACTACCGCTCTGCAGTTTTATTTAACTCCTGTAATAAAATTGTTTTTAATACTTCTTATTTCCAGCTTATTCTATTTCTTATATATAAAGGTAGCTTGTGTAGCTGATCTTAGGACTTCGGTCCAACTCCGATTCATCACTAGTAAGCTGCAGGCCAGCTATTACCTTCATATGTGACTATCCATGTCCCAATTAGGATTATTGCACTTTTGACAATATGCATAGTGTTGTACCAAAATATCAATCGTTTATTTCTTTTTTACATGAGAAATTACTTTTATGCAGATCTGTTGCTGAGATCAATAGTTGACAAGTAAAGTAACATATTTTGTATTGGAATGCTATCTCTCATTCATGTACTTGGCTTGCTCTTTCTCGTTTATGTTGTCTTTATCACTAAGGAATAAAAAATAGATTTGATTTTCAAGAATTCCATATTCATTTTGTTGCAGGAAGCAAAACAAGCATTAGAACTGATGGCCAAATGGGACATGATTGATGTCTGCGACGCATTAGAGCTGCTATCTCCTGTTTTTGAAAGTGAAGAGGTGGGCATGTCTGTAACATTTTGAGCTGCTAGCACCTGTTCTTTATCGTCTTATAACTGTTACCTGGAGGATTTATTTTTTATTTTTTATTTTTTTTACCTCGTACTCCTGTTAAAATCAAGTTTCATATCCTAATCAGCATGACTTGAAGTTAACCATATCAATTGTTTCTGCCGTTGTGCTCCTTCCAAGCCCATGGTAGCTGATGACTGATTAGGCTGAATATAGGATCATGAAGAAAAGAGGGAATTGCACCTTGCATGTGCAGTATAAGTACAACCTAAAAAGTCCATGCTTTCTTTGTCATCCTGAGCAATGTCCAATGGGATACGATGTCTTAAATAGAATAACTCTGTTGATCTGGGAGATGAAAAGTGTGTTATGCAGTGATACATATTGCTCTCCATCATTGATTTATTTAGTATCTTCAGTCTTCTACACATTTAATTTGAAACTGACCAATGCCCAACTTTAATACCTCCTGCCAGGTTCGTGCATATGCTGTCAGTGTTCTTGAAAGAGCTGATGATGAAGAGCTCCAGTGTTACTTACTTCAACTGGTTCAGGCTCTTCGATTTGAGCGTTCTGATAAATCTCGTCTTTCTCATTTCCTTGTGCAACGTGGTATGTGATCAGATACTCTTCATGTATGTATGCTGTCATGCACATGCACTTACCCTCATGCTATGTCTAATGTTTTTCTTTGGGATGTGTGCATGGATGTGCAAGGCTACACTTCAGTTCTTCACAGTATCAGAAGTATAGGTTTTTATGGCATCCTGATTATACTTTTGATCTGACAGCGTTAAGAAACATTGAGTTGGCTAGCTTTCTACGCTGGTATGTTGCTGTAGAACTCCATGATCCAGCATATGCCAAACGGTTTTACTGTACCTACGAAATCCTGGAAGAGAATATGATGAAGGTGAGAGTTTATCAACTAACGTTATGGGGTCGTTTGTTTTGTGTGTTTTGCTTGGGTATGAATCTGGATCCCCAGAACAGCATAAACATTTATGTAGATTCTCCAACCATGAAATGTAGCTTTTGGGATTACCCATCTATTTGGTTAATATGATAATGCCTTTCTTAGTTTCTCATTGGCTGAAGCCAGAATGGAAATAAACTGTATCCAAGTTTTTATATAGTTGCCAGCTGGTGTGCAAGGAGATGAAGATGGACTTAAACTGTGGCAAACTTTGGTGCGCCAGACAGAATTAACTGCACAGTTGTGTTCAATAACGAGAGATGTAAGAAATGTACGTGGCAATACCCAGAAGAAGATTGAAAAGCTTAGACAACTGTTTTCTGGTCTCCTTAGTGAACTTACATATTTTGAAGAGGTAATACTTTGGTTGAAGTTCCTTGTCTACGGATCTTATTATCTATTAAAATATGAATTGCTTATAGCCTTACCAATTGTATCTTTCATGGTTGTTCTGTGACGTCTCTAGCCAATAAGATCACCACTGGCCCCAGGAGTCCTCATCACTGGGATTGTGCCATCTGAGTCATCAATATTCAAAAGTGCACTGCATCCTTTGCGTTTGACTTTCCGAACAGCAAGTGGGGGAAGTTGCAAAGTTATCTTTAAGAAGGGGGATGATCTTCGCCAAGACCAATTAGTAAGTATTTCATGCAACCACCCTTGTGGCTGTTCGCATGCACAGACATGAGAACTCTGATTAAGTGGATCTATGCTTCCTGTAGGTTGTTCAAATGGTATATCTCATGGATCGATTGCTGAAATTGGAAAATCTTGATCTGCATTTAACTCCTTATCGAGTTCTTGCGACCGGGCAAGATGAAGGAATGCTAAAATTCATACCATCCCGCTCATTAGCACAGGTATTAATTGATGACCTTATTTTGTTGTATCTTGATTACTAATGATTGTAAGCTGTGTGAAAATTATGAAGCATTTTGCCTTGATTTGAAACTGTTAAGTTTTGTACAATTGGTAAAATGTTCTCTTTTCCAGATTCTCTCAGAGCACAGAAGCATTACAAGCTACCTGCAGAAATTTCATCCAGATGAGCATGGACCATTTGGTATTACTGCTACCTGTCTGGAAACATTTATAAAGAGCTGTGCTGGCTACTCTGTTATCACATATATACTGGGCATAGGAGACAGGTGACAATTAAGATGCATATATCTGCACAACTGCTGTTCTGCTTATGCGGTATTGAAATGCATAATTTTAAAGCATTAATTTGTCCTCTGTAGACATCTTGACAACCTTCTCCTTGTGGACGATGGACGTCTTTTTCATGTTGATTTTGGCTTCATTCTGGGTCGTGATCCAAAACCATTTCCGCCTCCAATGAAGCTTTGCAAAGAAATGGTTGAGGCTATGGGTGGAGCTGAAAGGTTCTTAATGATTAGTTTTGTCTCTGTGATGCTTCTAATTTCGCCACATTTGCTAGATAGGGTTGCATTAGACTTATGGCATGATATCCATATCATGCTGGGTGCAAGGTTAGCATACAGGAATGCACGGGGTTTGATTAATTATATTCCTTCTGCAGCCAGTACTATACAAGGTTCAAATCCTACTGTTGCGAAGCATACAACATTATTAGGAAATCCAGTAACCTAATCTTGAACCTGTTTCACCTAATGGCGGGTTCCAACATTCCTGACATAGCTTCAGATCCTGAAAAAGGCATCCTCAAGGTGACTTCTTTTGTGATTGTAATCTAATGTTTGTTCCGTCTAAAACGATTTGGTCTTTTTGTTTGACGGCACGTCTTTTGACATGTATAGCTCCAGGAGAAGTTCCGGTTGGACTTGGACGATGAAGCCTGCATACATTTCTTCCAGGATTTAATCAATGAGAGTGTCAGCGCATTGTTTCCTCAAATGGTCGAGACCATTCATCGGTGGGCTCAATACTGGCGCTGATCTCTGAAACAGGTTGGGTGTCATCTACATCTTTGAAAGATACAGGTAATTTCTATTTCCGTCCGTTTTGTTTGCAGTCTTTGCATTTTCTGCATAAAAGTTCAGCTTATCTAAACCTTTACTATGTACAGAAAAATTCTGTAACGATGCTGGAGTTGGTTCATGTTTTCGGTTGATTTTACTCTCTTTATGGCACCCCTTTTTCGTGTATACGTCTGTTATTTCTTTTTGTTTGGTGAAAAAATAAAAAACTTTATTACAAGTAAAAGAGAGTATTAATTTGAAAATTTGAGACTTTTTAAGTTTTCATTGGATAACATACATATAGAATTTGTATTCAGATCTTGAATTATTGCAATTCAATTTTTTCAGGTTTAGATCTAAGCAAAATGGAGCGCAATGACATTCTAGGATTCATACAGCCAAATCCACTCAATGAGATAAGGCCGTTATCAAATCTGAGCTAAATGATATGAAAGGGGCATATGCATGATATGTTTGAAGAAACAGTAGATTGGTCCAGGGAGCATGGGATGAAAGTTATCTTATTGTGCATAGATTTATCTATTATATATAAAGCCGGAGGTGTGATGAACAATGCAGCATATAATTTTTTTTTAAAGCCAAATTACCGATTTACCCTTGCATAATTTGAAATATGATTGTGGGTAGGTTTTGAATTTTTTTGGCTGAGGGGTATTTTGGTCCAATTATTTTGACAAAGTGGGCGACACCAAAATTTTTGTCTAATGTGTAAAGAATAAAAAAATGAAGGGAAGAGAGAAAATAATAAACAAATGACAAAGTTGATGGTACCCACATAATATAAAAATGGTCTTTCACACGTGGATAATAATGTGATTAAATAAATTGTCAAATGATTGTTTTTTTATGTAACAAACTATATTATCTTTACTAAGGGGAGGGGGTGGACTTAGCCTTACAATGGGCTAGCAATAATGTGATTCGATCAGTTTATTAAATATTATTTTCTCTATTTTTAAACACGTGCAAAACATTATAAGAAACATATAATGTTGGTTATAAAAAAGATCCTTCACACGCAAATAATAATGTGATTAAATTAATTGTCAAATGATTTTTTTTTTAACAAACGATATTATCTACACTAAGGGGGAGAGGGTGAGCTTAGCCTCACAATGGCTAGCAATAATATGATTCAATCAATTGTTTATGAAATATTATTTTCTCTATTCTTAATGTAAATTCTATAGAGACCGATTTTATTATGTGAATTCAGCTGCTTTAATTAGTTTATAAGATATTACTTCTTACATTTAATACGTGTAAGTCACGTTGGTGCCACCAAGCTTCAACAAAAATAATTGGACAAAAATGTCCCCAAGACAAAAATTCAAAGGCATCCCAAAATAATGCATCAAATAAGGCAAAGGCATTTTCGTTATTTTAACAGTATTTTTTCAATAATTAATTTTTTGGTGCTGTTTTTTTTTTTAATTTTATTTTTATAATTAGTACCTTACAATAGACTAGCAATAATGTGATTCAATTTCTCTATTTTTAAATATGTCCAAAACATCTTAAGAGGTGTGTAATGCCGATTATAAAAAAAGTCTTTCACACGTAGATAATAATGTGACTAGATAAGTTGTCAAATGATTGATTTTTTTTTTTTTTTTTTGGGTAACAAACGATATTATCTACACTAAGGGGAGGGGGTAGGCTTAACCTCACAATGGGTTAGCAATAATATGATTCAATCAGTTGTTTATTAAATATTATTTTCTCTATTTTTAAACACGTTCAAAACATCCTAAGAAGCATGTAATGTTGGTTATAAAAAAGGTCTTTCGCACGAGAATAATAATGTAATTAAATTAATTGTCAAATGATTGTTTTTTTTTTTTTTAAATAAACGATATTATCTACACTAAAGATGTAACATCCCACATCGCCCAGGGGAGTGGATCATGTAAGCCTTATATGTATATTCTCATCTCTACCTAGCACGAGGCTTTTTGGGAGCTCATTGGCTTCGAGTTTCGTAGGAATTTCGAAGTCAAGCGAGTTCGCACGAGAGCAATCCCAAGATGGGTGACCTACTGGGAAGTTCTCGTGTGAGTTTCCAGAAACAAAACATTGAGGGCATGGTCGGGGCCCAAAGCGGACAATATTGTGCTACAGTGGAGTTGAGCCCGGGATGTGGTGTGGGCCCGGGTAGGGATATGACAGTTTGGTATCAAAGCCAATCCCTGAGCGGAAGTGTGCCGACGAGGACGTCGGACCCCTAAGGGGGTGGATTGTAACATCTCACATCGTCCAGGGGAGTGGATCATGTAAGCCTTATATGTATATTCTCATCTCTACCTAGCATGAGGCCTTTTGGGGGTTCACTGGCTTCGGGTTCAGTAGGAATTTCGAAGTTAAGCGAGTTCGCACAAGAGCAATTCCAGGATGGGTGACCCACTGGAAAGTTCTCGTGTGAGTTCCCATAAATAAAACCGTGAGGGCATGGTTGAGGCTCAAAGCGGATAATATTGTGCTACAGTTGAGTCGAGCCCAGGATATGGTGGGGGTCTGGGCGGGGATGTGACAAAAGGGGAGGAGATGAGATTGGCCTCACAATGACTAGCAATAATGTGATTCAATCAATTGTTTATTAAATATTATTTTATCTATTCTTAATGTAAATTTTATAGAGACTGCTTTTATTATATGAATTTAGCAGCTTTAAAAAGGTTTATGGGAGGTTACTTCTAGCATGATCTAAAATGATTCATTTACTTCAAATATTTGACTTTCCTTTTTGTCAATTTACGCATATGAATACATTTAAAACATGTAAGTCACGCGTAGCACGTCGTGATTCAAAAAATGTCTTCTGCACAAGTGTGAGCGCTTGCATGAAGGCTAGTGTATATAAAGTTACAAGTGTAATTGAATAATCCTACTTAAATTTACATCACTTCTATGCCCATGGCATATAAAAGCAGATAATTTGTTAGGAACTTGCATATCAAAATTATAAATTCATATTCTTCTCTATACAATCAATCATATGACGTCTGATAATTAATTGTTATAGTACTTTGTTTATTTACAAACACACATGCCAAACTTGACTTAAAGTATAAGAGCAGTTCCACCCTTAAGGACTTTGTGCCAGCACCCAGCCCATTTATTCACTTCAGTGAACAGTAATATACTTCAATGAACAGTAATAGACCAAAGCATCTCCACCCCTAAACTAATATGCTTGCACCTAGTCTAAAAATGTGATGGCACAAACGATCTCCACCCCTACAAAATGTGCTAGCACCCAGCCCATTTAAAAATATTATTAATTTTTTTATAAAATAATAAATAAATAAAATTGTTTTAATTTCGAATAAGATTTTTAACCAATCTTGTCACGTTACGTGTCATTATGCGAACGTACTATTTTAAGTTTATGTAATTTTATTTAGTGTGTTTTTTTTTTAAGTTTATTTGGTGAGGTTATGTAAATTTAATTGGTGTTTTTTTATTTTTAAGTTTATTTTGTGAGTTTATGTAATCTTATTTAATGTATTTTTTGGTGAGTTTATTTGGTGAGTTTATGTAATCTTATTTGATCAGTTTATGTAATCTTATTTGGTGAGTTTATGTAATCTTATTTGATGTGTTTAAATAAAGTACAAAAAATAAATTTGAAATTGCATAAAGTTCTAAAAATAAAGACGAAATTACATAAAGTACTAATAATAAATAAGAAATTACATCTATTAATAAAAATAAAGTACTAAAAATAAAGATGAAATTACAGAAGAAATTAAATAAAGTACTACAAATAAATACGAAATTATACAAAATCTCCGGAGCTAGGTATGTGGTGCTAGGATCTTCGTTGTAGGAAGGATTTATGTAGCTAGAACCCCCTCGACTTGTTTCCGCATCTCTTGCAAGCCTTCTTCGCACGACCTCTTTTTTTTTTTCCGATGTCCAAAAATATTTTGAATTTGGAGATAGTCCTACTAGAGGCTTGTTCATAGTGTCACGATTAGCTTGAGCCATCATTTCTTCTCTAAGCATCTCATTTTCTCGATTAACTGTTTCTCTAATCATTTCGTTCTCTCGATTAACTTTTTCTCTTTGTCTCTTAGCCGTTGCATCACGTCTCTCAGTAGCTGCTAATATTGTTGCCATAGCAGTAGCTTTTTCCTCATCTCTTGCCTTTTCCTGTGCCATCCTCAGTTCACCTTGGCGAGCAAGTTCCTCCATATATTTAGTGTAGTCAGTTTTGGAAGAATTACCTTTTTTCTTTGATGCCTTTTTACCTTGAGGCATGAGGGACTGACGAGTTGGTTGGGTATCTGGCACTTCTTTAGGCATCCCTTCCGTCTCGCAAAATGTGTTGATTTTTTATTCAGTCGTGTCTGCTTCTGGTGAACTATGTAGACCCATACCGTGCATGACAACTTCTAGACCAGTTGCCACAATTTTGTATATGGGGCAATCTTTGACAATTTGCCAACATTCCCATTTGTTGAATGATTTGTTATGGTTCTTTGCATTGTAGAATGCTTGTGCTTGTAGTGTCTACATATGTGGGATAAGATAGTATTAAAAAATGCGGGTGTAACACACATAAATAAATTAAAATATTGATGTGGGTGGAATGCATATAAATAAATAAAAATATTGTCACTTGATCCACTAAACTTGTCCCACTACGCAGATTACCGGAAGCATGAGAGATGGTGTTTTTCCAACAAGTAAATGATGCGTTGAGTTTTTTCCAACGACCTTGAAGACCTGAAACTCTTTTGTAATTTTACTCCACATTTCTCGGTTATCCATCTCATTACCCGTAATCGGGTCATGAGTAGTGTGCACTCAACATTCACACAACGTAACATCTTCAATGAGCTTCCACGAAGTTATTCTTTTTCTCTCAAAGTATAGAAAATATTGAAATGTTGAAAGTGTAAAAAATATTGAAATATGGTGTAAGGTGGAAGATGAGGGTTAGGTATTTATAGAAAAAATAAAAAGTTTTTAAAAAATTTTATGTATTTTTTTAAATTTTTTTATAATTTTTAATAAATTTTAATGTATTAATTTATCTGGACCGTTGGATTTGAAAATATTCAAATCCAAGAGCCAAGGAGCTGCCACGTGGCCAACGGTCATAATTCTAACCGTTGAGCCTTTTTTTTTTTTGGGGGAAAAATTGTGGACCGTTGATCTGTGATCGAACGATCCTGTTTAAAAGTAAAATTCAAATTCTTTTTACCGTTGAAAATCTAACAATTTAGAAAAACTAGCCGTTGAAAATCCAACAGCATAAAGAGGGCCACGTCACCTACTTATGGGTGAAGAGCAAGTGGGCTGACAGCGGGCCCCGCTGCCTGCACCCTTGTTCCCTACTCGCACCCATGCACGATTGAGCAGCACGCGCCAGCCAAATAGGCCAGTCCCTGGATCAGTCAAAAATGAGTTGGTCTCTTGCCTAGCTTGGGCTAGGTGCCAGGCTGTTTTGTGGGCTGTAGTGGATTGACAAACCCCAGTTTGGTTTTTTGATTGAGTGCTGGGCTATTCCACCTCCAGTGGAACTGCTCTAAGATGTTAATGATTTACCATAAAGAATATTTTAATATGCACTAATGTATATTATAATAGAACATATCTGGTTCTTAAATTTATAACTGATCATTTTAATATTTCATTCATTAGGAACATATCACAAAAACGAACATAATAGAATTTTCGTTACTTGCATCAACCATTCAAAATTGAACCACCAGCGACGCTTTTTATTTCTATCCTTAATTAATCAAAAAAATTTAATAAATATCTATGGAATAATTTTTATTTTTATTTTTATTTTTGATCAAATCTATGGAATAATTAAATCCCCGTTTCGAGGTGTTGACTGCATTGCATTAAATCCTACGTAACAACACCAACATTGTTTACAATGTGGACGAGACGACGTCGTATATACCGTGGTTTCAACACGGCGGCTACTCATTTGACAGGCAATGTCTCTTGAACGAGAAATTTTTTATTGTGATGGGAACATACGTGATACACACGTGTTTTTATGTAAGTGGTAAGAAGTTTTATTTTTTAAGTTATTAATTTTTCAACACATATATTTCATCATTTATATAGTGATATATGATATATCAACCCGTGTGCCGATCATATTGAAAATTCTCTTCGCTCCAGATCAGCATTTAAGCTGTGCGCCAGGGGCATTTTCGTATTTCACACCAACCACGGACCGGGAGTTTATAAACACCAGTTGTCGATCCTCACCCCCACATTCACGCGTTGGTTCAAAGCTTCCTTCTCCTTCTCTCTCCCTCGATCTTCAAGGTCCCTCTGCGAAAGCTCATCGAAGGTAAATTCTGACTCTCAGATCTTGAATTTCTCTGAATTTAATCGCATTCGTACTTCTCCGTTTGATTTCGGTACTTTTGCGCTCGATTTGGTTTCTAATTTCGCGGTAATTTTGTTGATTATGGTCGGATTTAGCGTTCATTTGTGTTTAATGTGGTCAAATGCTTGAATACCGTGAGATTTGTGTTGATTTTTTTACTCTGATTCGAAGATTACGTGTTCTAATCATTCGGATCTCTAGAATTTTGCTCGAATTTCCACTGCAAAGTTTGGCTGTAACTCCAGATCTGCTCGATCTGTTGCTGCATGGTGCATAATTACTAGTTTGAATCCTTCAATTTTGTAATTTTAGTTTATTGGATGTGAAAATATGAATTGCTAATGATTTACGTTTGGCCTTGCCGGAGTTTGATCTGTTGATGCTAGTGAGTTGGTGTTTTGATATGTAGGGATCCGTAGCCAGAAATGGGGCTTACGTTTACGAAGCTTTTCAGCCGGCTTTTTGCCAAGAAGGAGATGCGAATTCTGATGGTTGGTCTCGATGCCGCTGGTAAGACCACCATCCTCTACAAGCTCAAGCTTGGTGAGATCGTCACAACCATTCCCACCATCGGTGAGTTCCTTCTTCCCCTCCCAAGGCAATCGTGTGCTCATTGTTGTTATGCCAGCTTTGTAGAATATGTCGAGACTTTAACATTGGATGATATTCGTCACTGATCGTGGACATTCTAATCTACTTTTGTTAGAATTTTTGATCTTAATGTTTGATATGGTTTCATTGTGAGCTGGTGGAGATGAAAATTTTCAGTCCAAGATGCTAGATAGTTTGGATGGCAACATGTGGCTATATCTAAAATGGTCGTTTTATGGTTGGGAGGCAGAGCTTGTGATCTGAAAGCAGGAGAAATTTTTCAGTGTGCCCTAAACATGGGGTGGTACGTCACATGTCATTATACAAGTGGAAGGAAGTTTTATTTTTCTAGTGTCCCTCCACTTGTATAATGACATGTGGTGTACCAACCTGTGTTCCAGCACATTGAAAATCTGTCTTTATTTTAACCATTTTGTGGGTTTGTAACTATAAATTGTCACAACTTAACAGCAACGATATTTATGCTAGACTTAAAAGTGTAAAGGCTTTTTCTTCTGCTTTGTTTTCTTTTATTTCGTTCATTTTCTATGCTGTTCCTTTATGAAGTTCATTAGGTTTTGTAATTTTTTTTTAGATTTTTGAAAAATATACAATTGTAGGGTTTAATGTGGAGACCGTGGAGTACAAGAACATCAGCTTCACCGTCTGGGATGTCGGGGGTCAGGACAAGGTTAGTTTAGTTCATGTTTCTGAGAGATGTAAAGTTATTTAAAGAAATTTTGGTGATTTCCAAAAGTTTTCTAGACTTGTGGATAACAAGTTTAGAATATCTTGAAAATTGTGGATGACAAGTTGGCAACCTATTTCTTTCCTTTCAGATCCGACCATTGTGGAGGCACTATTTCCAGAACACGCAGGGTCTTATCTTTGTTGTGGACAGCAATGACAGAGACCGTGTTGTTGAGGCAAGGGACGAATTGCATAGGATGTTGAATGAGGTTTGTTGTCATTTTGCTCAAGCGTTTCTATCCATCCTTCTTTGAGTATTCCAGGATGTATTCTGTGCTGATATGTTTTAAAATATCATCCCTTCAACTTCTGGAATTTCCTAGATTTTAGTGTATGAGATTTAGGACTGAAGCCTGTAGTTTATAGGAGATAACGTAAGGTTTTCTATTGATTAGAGATGATAAAGATGCAGTGGCCTAAGTGGCAGCTTCCTGAACTGTGTTAGTATGCTGTTGATGCGTGTTGTGGATATTGACAAAACTAGTTATCCTATTTTCTTACTCTGTTGATATCGTTGGCTGATTTGCTTTGCTGTATTGGCTTTGAATGGTGTGGCTGAATGATAAACGTTCTTTCACTGAGTCATATGTGCTTAGTAAGGTCGGTCATGTTAATTTTGAAGAGTGGTTCTCTGGACCTGTTATCTGGAACCTTTCAATACTTCCAGGTTTACCTAATTGATGTTGGAGATACTAGGACAAGTTATGTTATGTTCCATTATTTTGTGTGATTGAAATATCCTGTTTTCAGGATGAACTGCGTGATGCTGTGTTGCTCGTATTTGCTAACAAACAAGATCTTCCGAATGCCATGAATGCTGCTGAAATTACTGATAAGCTTGGCCTCCACTCTCTGAGACAGCGTCACTGGTAATCTTTATGGGATTCCTTGTCCCTCCTGTGATTCATCTTTTTAATTTTTATTTTTTTTAATTAGGTCTAACACCCATTGTATGGTTTTCCAGGTACATCCAGAGCACCTGTGCAACGTCCGGGGAGGGTCTATATGAGGGGCTGGATTGGCTCTCCAACAACATTGCTAACAAGGTAAACTTAGTCCCCCCCCCCCCCCAGTTCAGTGGTTTTATATTCCTTCAGAGCGAAGTAGGTGTAATTACCTAACCTTTAATTTATAACCATCATGGCAAGGCTGTCGTGCTGTATGACTTGGTTGACGATCTCTTTTTGGAAATTCTTATATTGTTATTGTTATGTGGCATTTGAATGCTCGTTACGGTTTCTCATACTCGTTGAATTGCAGGCGTGATTGTATCGAGGAGTCATTTTGTGGACCGGAAATTCTGGATGCAGGGGTGAATATTATCTAGTTGTTTTTTATGTTATTGAGACGATTGAATTGTTGAAATCTTCTTCTTGTATTTGTTGTGGGAATGCTGTTTTCATCTAGGACCTTTTTAAATGGGGTTGTATTTCTTTTGGTTGGATTTTGGATACAATTCTGTTCTGAGTTGTAATTCGATTATTGGATACACGACTCCTGGTTCTGGTTCATTATCCGCTCTGCTGCTCTAACTGAGCTTACGTGAGGGTTTTAATTTCCAAGGCTGTGAGGAAGTAAACTTTCGAATTTTAATTTAAAAATGATTTCTTTAAACGTATAAACTGCAATTGCTATTCTAATAAAAAAAGTGAGGTTTTAGGTTCGATTATCGTGAAAGATGAACTACCCATATAATAAATAACAAGAGAGAGATTATAAAATAGAGAAATAAAACAATAGGTGAGTTCCACAATTAATATATAAAACTTATTTGTATCAAACTCGCACCGCAAAAAAAACAAAAAAAAAAAAAAAAACCCTATGAACTACCGAATGAACGAAAAATAGAATGAGAGAGCCACTCACGCCAAAAGCACTTTCAATGTCCAAATGCACTGGGGAAAAGAGGCACCAAGGTGACCAAATTTCTTGGTTGCTTTCCCTCATTCCTCTCTCTCTCTCCTCCAAACTGCTTTTGTTTATTTATTAAAAATTTGCGTCCGTCTCTTTCAGAATAGGTCCGATTTACCTAAAGCTCTTTTTACATCCGAAGCAGCAATAGGATTATGAGGCTGGTCTCGTTTTTACATCCACCACTTACGCGAAGCATTTCTTTAATGTTGATAACTTGGTGAATCTACACAACACTATATTGTCACAACGTTTTCACCTTTAAGTTTAACTGTTGTAAGTGAGAGATTTTATGTTTGATTCTCGTCAAATACGAATTTGAGCTTGTTGTGTGTAGTCTATTGCGAGACTTAGCTCACTTCCTCACCTCTTAATGTAGATATTATCGTTTGTTTAGAAGGAAAAAAAAAAAAAACAAGAACAACAACAACAACACTCATAAAAAACAACAACAGCAGGTTGGATGAATATTATGGGCATCTGCAGTAGTCATGCATGCATGCAGATGCATACAAATTAAGACAAGGTTTGTATCCTGCGGCTCTTGCCATGCATGTTTGAGGGGCTTGCATGCTGCATGCACGTCCAGTACTGGCCACTCTTGCCATTTGAACCGAGGACCACTTGTAAATGACTAAACTACAGAAACTAAAAAGCTTGCTTTCAGCATTAAGCTCCCAACTTTTGGCTCCTCCTGCTGATGATGGTGTAAAATTATCAGAGAGACGGGCCAAAAGCTCCACTTTCAACAACATCAATATTGTTCCCAACTTGGTAATTACTACTTGCACAATTCGTCAGGTGCAAAAGGTCTCGGTATTAGTTGGAATGGGATTAGAATATTTAAACTCTTCTTTTCTCATTGATATGGTCGATGAGAGACATCTCAACCCACCCCCTCACGTGAGACCCAATTAGTGGGTCATACGTGAGAGATCCACACATCAACAACCGCATGGAGTCAAGGAGACTCACCCTACAAGCGGTGCCAAAGGGACCCACCCATCACGTAGCAGTACAGTACGGGCCCTTTCCTTGCTCTAATACCATGTAGAATTATCAAAGAGACGGGCCAAAGGCCGACTTCCAACAACACTGATAATGTCCCTCATTTGGTAATTACAATCTGCACAATCCGTCAGGTGTGGAGTTTTATCACAAAAGGTCTCGGTATTAATTGGAGTAGAGTTATGATATTTAAACTCTTCTTTTCTCATTGATACGGTCGATATGGGACATTTCAACAGATGGAAGACCAGTCACCAACATTAACTTATTAGGGTTTCTTCCTTGTTTTATTTCTCTAGGGCTAGGGGCCTAGGACCAAATCCTTCTTGGATCTCTACCTTATTAAAGTTGGCAGGGGAAGATTCCCACTTCCAACAAAGTTTGGTAACTCAATTTAAGTTGTCTACAGTAGCGTCAACTGTGTTGTTTCTATGTATGTCAAGCTACTCTTGGATCCAGTACACTTTTCCATAAATCCTTGATAAGATTATACAATTGCTTGATAGGTGAAAGCCTAAAGAACAAATTTTCAATTTTCAAAGTCAGAAGCCTCAGTGTCTAATTTGGACTCATAAACTCTAAACCCTAAATCCACTGATTTTCTTTGTAGTAGTAGTTTTAATAAAGTTTTGGTAGACAAAATTTCTGATATTTTTAACTTCTGCGCATTTTGTTTGAGAGCTAGGGTTTTGTAGGAATAATTAAAAAAAAAAAAAAAAAAAAAAAAACAAGATCGACCAAGCAAGGGATCTTGCTCAATGTTAGTTTGTAAAGGGCTCCTTAATCATTGTGTCCCATGATTAAGGAGCCCTTTACAAACTAACATTGAGCAAGATCGACCAAGCAAGAAGCATATTTACTTTACTTTATCTTTTGCCCTTTTTTTTTTTTTTTTTTTTTTTAAGGTAGGACAGGGCCCAATCGCCCTGTACTGTGCTGCACAATTCCTGGAGATGATTGATACATACATATATATATATATATATTATATGATTCAACAGCAGTTTGCGCATATTTATCCATAGATAAGATGACTTTATAACTGCAAGTAAATTAATCAAAGGAAGAGATGGTTCTGTATCAGCAGATAGCAAGCGTTTCTTTCTTGGAACGTCTTTCATGTTCTAAATTACAAACTTTTCATCAAGTAGCTTACCCTCTATATCTTTAATCAAAACATCATATCAACCATTAATGTATTTAATCAAAACATCATATCAACCATTAATATATATTTAATCCAACGTCAACAATATGTGAAATTTTTAATGACGTCGGTGACATCTCAACGAAGGAAAACAATTTTTTATCTGCCACCTCCAGAATTCGTTGTTGAATACTTTTTTAGATTTGTTTTTGGGTATTTAAAATGCTACATACATACTTTTCAAGATATTGTAGTATGCATGTAAGAAAGCAAACCATGGGAAACAAAATTTTTTACTTTACAGTGTGCTGAAGTCTGCTTGCAGTCAAATCTCAAAAGAAAAAAGGAAACATAAAAGCTAACCCTAATTCTTCTCAGTCACGATTAAAAACAGATCACAACACTAGCATTACTCGTCACTCAAACTGTATCTATATTACTTTGCTTAAGGACTAACTCTAAGGAGCAACTTGTGACGAATCCAAAAAATAATATTAAGGGATTCAATAAGAATAGCGCGCAATTTTTTTTACCATAAATAGCATGCATATCTTAATTTCATCGAGTCTTGGTAGGCCTGAAGTCATTTGGAAATGTATAATGCACACCTGTTAATGCCTCATTTGCGAGGGTAACTAACTTATTCTAAGGCTAATTCCATATGAATGCTTAACAAAGAAACACACTTATCTTGAACACACTAACAACGTTTGATATCATTGCATCCTATTAATATGTTTGTCCAAGAATGGTGATGCTTTGTTATTCATTGAGATCACCATTTCATTCACTCTTCTTTCAGATATTTTATCAAAAGGGCATGTATAAAGCCAACTCTAATCGTTAAAAGGGAAGCACCCAAGGTATCCATGGACATTCATTGAAGTTTGGAGGGTCAGCACTCAAGGTATCCATGGATGTTCACCGAAGTTCGGGGGGTCAACTGACCCCCTGCCCCTCTATGCATCTGCCACCTAGTACCACGGTCTAATAATATTAATCTTCACTTGTAAGTAAAAGGTTTTAGGTTTGATTCTCACCAAAGATGAATTTGAACCACATTATTACTAACCTATCATGAGCCTAAATCTACCCTCTCCCCTAGAGTAAATAATATTATTTTTTTTTCAAAAAAAAGAAAAAGAAAAAAAAAACTCTGACGAACAGCCAAGTGCAAGCAGTGTAATTAATCCAAGTTTCTACTAGTGTTTGAAATGTCAAACAAATATATAACATTCTTAAACACAAAAATTAGGGTTTGATTATTCAGTACGGACAAAAAATATAACTTAATTTGACGACAGGGATTCATGCACATGCATGGTCTCAACCATACTAATTTCTCCAACATTTTTTTGGTACTTCCCTTCCTTTCTCGTTGTTGGTATAGAGGAATACACCAAATTAAGGTCAATTAATCAGTAATCTTCCCAATCATTAAGCTAGCTAGTCAATCTTTGCGATTACTGTTAAACTTTCTCATCAAAATAAAAACCCCACATCTGATTTTTCCTTGATAAAGGCATCATTAATTTCTAAGTTACTAAAAGCATGCATGATGTATATGTTTCACCAAAAGAAAGCTGGTGTGTTAATCATGTCTTAAGTTGTTTCACCTTGAAAAAAAAATTAGAATTTGGTTAATAATAATGTATAAGCTCTTAGGCAAGCTTTGTGTTTGGGAAAGAATAATACACTAAATTTATCTGTACTATGAAAAAAGATTTGAAAATATATGCTAAACTCATATCTCTAGTACTAATCATGTTTTAGAAGTTAATGGATGTTACTGAGCAGCTGAGCTTAAGCCTCGAAACAAACCTCTCCAAATTATAAAAGAAAAATCGTAGTATTGTTAGGTCTCATCTGCAATTAATATTAGAGATCTGTGACTGTGATAGAATTAGATGAGACCAAACTACAGAATTCTTATTTAAAAATAATCTTTTACATGACTTGGTCAAAGGCCCCACTTCAGCCGACTACTCCACCCTTTGATGCTAACTTTCTAGAACATATATTTTCCACAGAGAAAAATTACTCCCACTTGAAGCCTAATGCATTTTCTCCATTGCAAGTAACCGCATAGTATTATATATATTTTCTATTGACCAAGACCTTATTACCTCCCATTAATCTCAGCCGTCCATCTTGATACTTGATGATAAGGCTACCCTACATGAATGGTGGGTTTGAACAGAAAACATTGTTCGTTCATTCTTTCTTGTTTTTTATTTCCCTCCAACACCATCATAAACCTCAACAAAAACATTATTTATAAAAACAAACTTGGACCATACTTTGCATTTGGGTTTCATTTGGGGTTCATCATACATGCATTTAGTCCTCATTTGTTTATATAAGGCATCCAAGGGGCAGATTACAACCCAGAACCAAAGGTTAGTGGGGGGTGGCTTCCTCAGTGTAGCTAATTTACTTTCCCCACACTCCTCATTTCTCAACACACCCAGAAGTTCCAGGCAATGGCACCCCCAGAAGTTCCAGCTGATGTGTTCCAGTCCACAAGGAAAGTCTCAACGCTCACTACTACTACTACAGGCTGCTCCAAGAGGGCATTTGTGACGTTTTTAGCTGGAGATGGTGATTATTTCAAAGGGGTTGTGGGTTTGGCTAAGGGCTTGCGCAAAGTTAGGAGTGAGTACGCTCTTGTGGTTGCGATATTACCGGACGTGCCAGAGGAGCACCGTGAGATTTTACGTTCTCAGGGTTGTATTGTTCATGAGATCGAACCTATTTATCCTCCGGAGAACCAGATTAAGTTTGCAATGGCCTACTATGTCGTCAACTACTCCAAGCTCCGTATTTGGAATGTAAGTACGTAAAACCATAGACATATTGATATTTATTATGATAATATATTAGATATCTAATATGTTATATTGTCAGACTGTCGATTGAAACTAGTCTACCAATGATTTAAACATAGCACATCAGACTCTGTGGTGAACAATACATCACTCAGGCACTCTCTTATGGTTACAGTAAATATGTATATATATTTGAGTATGTGGAACTTATGCATATATGCAGTTTGATGAGTACAGCAAAATGATATATTTGGATGCGGATATCCAAGTGTTTGAGAACATTGATCATCTGTTTGATACGCCTGATGGCTACTTCTATGCTGTGATGGACTGCTTCTGTGAGAGAACATGGAGTCACTCACCACAATACACAATCGGGTATTGTCAGCAGTGCCCTGACAAGGTTTCATGGCCTGCTGACATGGGATCTCCTCCTCCGCTCTACTTCAACGCCGGCATGTTCGTGTTCGAGCCTAGCCGCTTGACATACGACGGCCTCCTTCAGACTCTCAAAGTCGTCCCACCCACCCCTTTCGCAGAACAAGTAAGTACATATTAGAAATTAATCATAATTATTTTGCAAGAAAAAATTTAAGTGAGACTATTTCTGCCACGTGACAACAATTTCATTGCCAATTGGAATCAAAGGAAACATAAAGTTGCTGTCACCAATCTTTTTGTTTATGAATTTTACAGGATTTCTTGAACAAGTTCTTCCAAAAGACGTACAAACCAATCCCAAATATATACAACTTAGTTCTAGCCAATCTATGGCGCCACCCAGAGAACGTGCAGCTTGATCAAGTAAACGTAGTTCACTACTGTGCTGCTGTAAGTACTATTTAACAGATTGATTAAGCATATTTATTTTAATTAATCACTCTTTAATGAATTGTTTCTTTTTAATTATAGGGATCAAAACCATGGAGGTATACCGGCAAGGAAGCTAACATGGACAGAAAGGACATCAAGGTGTTAGTGGCCAAATGGTGGGAAATTTACAACGACGAGTCCCTGGATTTCAAGGCTGAAACCCCAGCAGCTGCGGAGGAAGAAACTTTCTCGAAACCGTCGTCGATCATGGCTTCCATGCCGGAGCCTACGATTCCCTACATTCCTGCTCCATCTGCTGCTTGATATATAATATAATCTTGAGCGACTAATTATTATTCACAAGTTAATGGTGTGATTAGTGATCCTTCATTAATTTTTTTGGTCTCATACTTGTATTATACACTCCTTTTTAATTAGATTGCTTCTGATTGGCCTTATTTTCTTGGTGGTGAGGGTTCATATGAGTGAGTTAATGTATTTGGTATGACTTAATTACCTAGTGTACTTGAGAGCTCTATAATACTAACTAAAAATATACGAGTTTACTTGTAAGTGATTTTAAAATGATTGAAAACACTTTTAAAATTTAAAGTGTTTTTTCAAGATTTACTTGCATTTTGACTAAATAATGGTTCCAAAAACATTTTCTTAAAAGGCATTTCTAGCCATTTTAAAAACAATTCCAAACAAGTCCGTTCTTTTTTCGGTGCATTTAACGTACAACAACATTTTCTGCTTACGCCAAAACTTGAATTCCACCTCTTTTTCTTCAAAAAATGCTGGGTTAAGGACTGCTGCATAACTCTCATAATGAAGTCGACTCTATACACGTGGGGTCCCACGCAGCAGTCGCTTCACCCAAATGCAATTTGAGATAGAGTTTAGCTCATTATCAACCCAAATTCTAGTAGTTCTGAACAGAAATATGACTCGGTCCGAAACTCGGATAACTCGATTCGCTTACAATACCACATCGGAACAGCCCAACTTCGTCCAATTGGCACTGCCTTCAATCCAACTAAACAGGTACCTTTCCAAACGTATGGTAACAATTGTCTAGCTATACACGTGGCAGACTTACAATGGGTCTGGACCTTGGTACCAAGACCCCACCAGATTATCGATAATTGACTTTTTGCTCATTTCGGGTAGGACAATATGTTCGGGATCATCATCGTCTTAATGTCAAAACATATTAAAACCTTTTTAAAAGAGAACGTCTTACGTGCACTGATTACTATACAATGTCGATACGTCAAACAAATGCAGACGTTGCGTTATTGACTTGGAATACCACCGCAAATCACCACCTCATGTGCGTTTTAACATATATCCATAGAGCCAAATGCACCCTCTCCTTCATATTCACCGTCTTGAGACCCTAATTCCTGCATGTGATCATCCTCGAAAAGAAAAGTTGGCATTTCTTTGCTTCTCTGGGGCTCTCTGTCATGCATTTCTACTACCGCAATGATCTTTTCCCTTATACAATCTTCAACGACTTCACCTCCAACTCCTTGAGACTGCAATCCAAGAAAAGAACAGCATTCTTCTCGGAAGTCCGCGTCATTGGAAGACAAGATTAGGCTAGAAATTGTTTTCGCGAGATCGGGGGCATAGCTACGGACCTGGGAACCAAGGCAATCGGTTAACCAAGGTGCTAAAATGCAGACTTCACTTTGTTAAGCGAAGTCTACGGATTTACGATTGAGATGGAAAGTCTAAGTTTCAGAAGCATCGTCTGTCATTCTCAAGTGGAATATGTTTCTACCTTATGGAGTTTGACATAGTAACAACTAATCACTGAAGGTATGACCACATACAACAAAGACGTAAACACTAATTATTTCGAAAATTTGAATTTTCAGCAGATATTTTGATGCAGAAACTTGGTTTTTATAAAATTGTTTTCGTGTAAGACAATTCAAGCAATAAAGATGAAAAGTAAAACACAATATAGTATAATTACGTGTAAGAGGATAATTTTCGAGCCATTGGTCTCTTAGAAGACCCACTATGCTAGAAAATTCAAAGATGACAGAGTTGTGAGAGCGAGAAATGTACCTTGACGGCATGGGCACTTAGAAGAACTCCAGCGTAATTGTCCTTCAAATCGTTCAATGCAAGCTTAATTGCTTTTTTAATGAGATTCTGATCAGGTCGCGTCTTTCGCCCTGCTGAGGGTATTGTAATCTTGGCAGTGTGTCAAGGAACAGGCATATACATATAACATATGGCATGTTTAGTAGGAAACATAAATAAAAGAATTCAAGGAGGAAGTTAACCAATATCAAGGATGTTAAGCAATGAACGATTTTGGATATTGCTCGTGGTAGTGGTGGAGGATAATATCAATTTGAACAGATGGGGGCAAGTTCTCCCATTCCACTAATGCAAAGCCGCCCTGATCCACAACGCTTCCAAAGCTCAATCCGTAACTTTTCCAGTCAATGCTAGTTAACGCCTTCAGAGTGGATTGAGGGATTCGGCAAGGTGTGAAATCTTTGAAATACAAGACCTGAAAGTGAATACACGCATTCATAACAACCAAACCATACATTTCTTCACACCAAAACAAAGACGAACAAAATACTGCGTTTTGTCACTTCTGTTATTATTTTTGAACCACAATCGAAATCCCATGAGAAGATTAGAAGGGCAAATAACTACATAAATTAATTGCTGCCAATCACAAGGACTGCTACATATTTTACGGTTCCAATATAGTAAAGGATATGAAAAACAGAAGAATGAAAGTGATCAAACAAACCTCAGTTTTCGAGCTACATGTCCTCGGACAAGTACTGGCTACCTCTGACATTTCACTAATTACAATCACTGCTTCCATCACTGATCCAGGATACCTTCGGCTTTCTGTGCAGCATGCTGTTCCACTACCAATCTTGAGATGCTCCCTTAAAAGATTGAAAGTAACAGTTAAGACTCACAAAACAAACTTTCAATGTGTCATGCAATCTCCAAGCAGTTATACACTACTCTACACTACAGCAGCCTGATGTATTTTACTAACTTTTCAATCAATGGCAAGTCGGGCCAAATAGAGAGGAAACTGGCATGGATTTCATTGTAACTTACCCACTTGAGAAGCATGACTCGCATTTTTTTCCTAAAGTATTCCTGTGCTTAAAAACGTAGTCTTCAACCCCTGACTTTAAACGTTCAAGATTTGAAGCTACAAAAGGTAAAGGGGTCCTCCCCTCATTCGCTAGAAAAACATTTACGTATCTAGATCCAGGAGCATCCCCTTGTTCAACTACCAGTTCAATTGAAACATTCTGGGAAAAAAACAATTGAAGCTGATCGATTAGTCGCTGCTGAAGTCATCATTGATCATTGAAGTTAGGCACACTACTATACACACATTTGATCAAGTAACGCCTCTCTTTTTAATTAACCAGCTCGATATAATACAATAGGATTTCAAACTTGAAAATCTTTTGGGACATGAAGTTGTAAGTAGATCTTACAGGGATCTTTAAAATGAGGATCTTCCGAAAGAAGCAACTAAACGCTGCCAGCAAAACATCAATGCTTTCGGATATTGACAGACATACTTCAGTCCCACTGAACAACGATGAAACAATCACGAAGCAGTTATGTGCGTAACTTCAAAGATAAGTACATAAAGTAAAATATTCAGCAGCACAAAAGTTTAAGTGATTTGCAAACCTGAATTGGAGTCCATTCTTAGGATTTGAAGACAGCCTGGTCAACCGTCTCCCTGACGCACTTTCTTTCAGATTGAACTGGTAATGATGTATCTGATCATCACCAATACCTGCAATTCTTACAAATTCATTCAATATCAGCAATGACAAAACCAAACTTCAAAACTCGGTCGTTTTGAATTTTAATCAAAACAAAGCACAGTTACTGTAGAGAAATCGGAACTCACCGGTGGTTGTGACGAAAAGCAATCCATCTGCATCACAATGTGGCCATGTAAACCAAATTGATATATAGAAACCGCAAACGAGTAGCCATTTTGGTAAATTCACTCATATACGTACCCCAAATTTGCGCGCCAAAAGCCTCCCTACGAAGCTTCAAACCTCCAAAGTCCTCTGCGCAGCTCCCCACGCCGGTATCCGAGACTGATCAGACGGAAACCAAGCCCATATTCGTCATTTTACTAACCACACACGCCGTTTGCGCTCGAGACCACGCCGTTTCGTTTCCAAAAATCCCAAGCAAAAATCGAACTCATAGAGAGTGAGGGAGTTAGAAGGGCGGCGAGATACCTGAAAATTGAACGGAGCGGGGATCAGACGGCGGAGAGCGCTTGAGATGGACGGAGAGTCTGCAGAGGTCCTCCGACGTGCGGCATCTTTGAAATGCCGACGAAATTAACTGCAAAACCGAAGTGCGGAAGTTAACGGCGACAGAAAGCGAATCGATCCGAGCGTTTCGTAGGTTTTTAGGTGGAGATTTAAACTCACTTGCAGGCAGAATTCTTGGGCTGAAGCGATGGTCATCTTTCTGTGTTTGGATTTTGGAGGAGAAGACTGAAACTCCCGCCGTTTCCGTGAGTGAATGTAGCGACATATTATTCGTCCCTGTTTTATGAACATTTTTTAATTGTGGGCTTTTATTTGGGCCCGTTTTTATCTGAAGGGGTAGGATTCGAATTGGGACCAATTGAATCAGAATGGATGGGCTTAGGCCCATGTTTGTCAAGGGTCGTGGTTGGCTATCCTAAAAAGGTCTCGGATTTGGTAATTATCTAGTGGGTTATCCAATTAAAAGTGCATAAATATGAGGAGACAAAAAAACTTTTAATGGTGGACCTTTTGCCCTTCTATGAAATTTCTGTTCTCCCACGGTTTAACATCTCTATTAAAACTATACATGTGGTCTTGGACTCATGGTCCCTCATAAGGCTTTTAATAGTGGACTCTTGGTCCTCTCATAAAACTTGTATGACATACATGCACTGCCATGGTAGCGTTCTTTGTTAATAACATAAAAATATGTAGGACAATATTAAATACATGTTCTTGTATTATTAGTATGAGACGTCACGTGATGGTGTACTAATGATATATTTTACATATTGTCCATTGTCAAACATATTTCCATGCATGTTATATCATACCCATCACGTGAATCATGTGGTGAATGTGAGATGAAATAGATGGAAATAAAACAATGATGAAAGTCGATGAGAACGTGGAAAATAAAGTCTAGCTCTCCTTCCACACAAATCACCACCACTCAACTCTCAGTTGTGGAAGTGCAAGTCAATGATTAAGAGAATAAATGAAAAGTAGCACTCTTTTTTCCTTGTTGCTATAATGAGAGGATCCTCTTCGGATCTTCAATGAGAGGATTCTCTTCGGATCTTCTTTGTGAGGATCTAAAAGATTATTGAATCGTGTTCATTCATTATAAATCGTGTGGTCTGTTTTCGTCAGGTACTATTTATGTTTAATTTTAAATAAAAATTTTAAAATAATTTATAACCACACAATATACGATGAATAAACATAATTAAAAAATTCTCGAAATTCTCAAAAAAAAAATCTGAAGTGGATCCTCGTTCGTTGCTTTATCTAGAGAGTAACTTTTTCCATCAATCTCCGAAAGACTGCTGGACGAACTCTTTGGAATTGAGCAAGATTGTCTATCCTTTTATTTGGTATCGTTCTCATCCCCTCCTATTTTGTACGATTACGGTTAAGTCACGTCAACATTTTATATTAATTTTTTTATAGAGATAATAAGATAAAAAATAATAGGAATATAAAATATTGACGTGATTTAACCGTGATCGTATAAATAGAAGGAGATGAAAATGACACCCAAACAAGAGGCAGACAATCTGCCTCCCCTTGGAATTACCTAGTAAAGAAACAGTCGGTCAAATCGTGTTCACTGTCGCGACACCGGTTGCGGTCAACAACAAGCGCCAGTGCGCCGGTCAGCTTGATATGTATAATCTGCTTTCCCCACTCCCCAGATTGCAATTTAATTTGCAAGAGATGCTCAATAATAATCTATTTAATCTGTTGATGCCACGCACGTTTAATATATAGTAATGAGCACCAGAGAGGGGTTCAATAAAATATTATAATGTAAACGGGAATCAAAAACTTGGTTACTGCTGTAAGATTATGATGACTCTCATATCGTAAAATTTAAAAAATAACATAAATTTAGATAAGATCAGAATATAAAAAAAGTAAGCTCATATTTTACGAGAGAAAATGTCTTAAAAGTGATGCGATCGGTCGGCTTAGTAGTAAAATTCAAAATAAAAGCACATGATGTTTATGATAATGTTTTGTAGAGCGGGCGAAGACAAACAAATCGCTGGAGGGCATCGAGGAATAATTTGGTAGGAGGAAAGCAGTTGACACGCTTTTAGTAGCGATGAATTATAAGGTTGAGAGTTGGGCAGTTGGACTAGTCGCTACTTATTTATCAATAATTTATAACTACCATTACCATACACAGTGTTTTGTGTTTTAGGTGCAATAATCACATTTTTAGTACATGTTGACAACGCTTGGGTGGAGTAATGAAGGGACCAGGATGTCCTAAGTCTATCACAACTTTTTTTATTTTTTTGGAAAAGTTTAGTGTTATACTTATGATTTTTAAAGTTTTTCGTAGGCTCAATGCCCCACTCCAATATTTTTACTTTAATTTCTTTTATTGGGTTTGGAGTTCAGGTAATTTGTTGCTTGTGCGCTTTGAGGACTGTGGTATAGGATTTAGTGGGAAGAGAGGGAAGATGAAAGTCAAAGAGTCTTGGGGTTTAGGTTTAAGGATGAGGACGACACCATACTAAACCCAAGCAACGTTGGTTGTTTGCTCATCACCCAACAAAATAATTTTTGTAAGATCAGAAGCGTTTTGGATTGAGACATTTGGGTCCTCATAGGCTAAAATTCTAGCTTCGTTAATGCGCTTGGAAATGTATAAACATATATTTAACACATTCAGATACTCTTGAGAATACACATGAACTTTAAACATACAATAGTATGGTTATTTCTGTTAGAAAGTGTGTTCACAGGTCGGGAAATTTTTTATGGTGCTCTATGTATAAGCTGGTATTTTAGATGTCATAATATAAATGGAGAGACGTAAAAAGAAAAAAAAAAATTATTTCCTCTATTTGTTTATAGGTGGAGACCGGAGAGGATTGCTTGAACTTGAAAAACTGGTGCTTGAAAATATAAACTACTTCATGTAAAGTTACAAAACTACCCTCGACGAATGACCCAACGGCGCCTCAGTAAGTAGAGAGAGAGAAAAGAAATGCGAACGCCTACCTTCTCCCGTTGGAAAGTCAAAGGTTGAGATTGAACAGAGTGATCTCCCGAGAAATCTAACGCATCGGATATTGAAATTCTGTGTGGGAAGGACGGAAGGAAGGAAGGAAGGACGGACCCCACAAAAAAAGTATATATATAATGGGTTAGGTGCAATGCAGACTGCAGAGGGGCAACAGTGCAATTTGATTCCAAAAAAAGCTCAAATCAAAAGAGGAAGCCGACCCGAAATGGAAATTGGGAACGTTGGAATTACAGATATTTCAAAACCCACCAATTCGGAAGCTCAAATTTCCCACCTTGCTCTCGATATTGGAGGCAATTCACTCTCCTCGATCATAACCTGGTTTTTGTTTTTGGAGTTCAATTGCTCAAATTCTCATGATTTTTCGATTGTTTTTGTATTTGTTTTGCCTGTTGGCAGGTTCTCTGATAAAGTTGGTGTATTTCTCAACGAACAGTGACGATTCGTCTTCTTCGAATGATAGCTTAGCAGCTTCTAATGGCGACAGAGGGAGTCCTGTTCTTGAAGGGAAGCTCCATTTTGCAAAGTTCGAAACTCAGAAAATCAATGACTGTATAGACTTCATTCGATCCAAGCAACTTCGCCTTACTGGTATGCTTAATGCTTAACAAGTATTTGATTGCTTTGCTCTCCTGATTCATTTGTATCATATTTCGTTTCAATCAACTTGGGAAATGGGAAGATTCATTTTTTCACTCATTGAGACTATTTAACCTTGTTTTGTTAAACTAAGTGTTGATGTTGAAATCTTGGATTGAAAGTTCAAACTACCATTTTTATTGGTAAATGAACTACTTCAGCTTAAGTAATTAGTACCCATATGTTTACTGCGAAAATTTTATAGTTTCGGAAGATTTGAACTTCTGAAAATGAAATACGAAGGAAGATCATACTCTGAATATATCTGCTTGTTCAGTAGTTGTAGTTATCATTTTCTGGTTTTGGGTCGTTGCTTATGGTTGTAGATGATTTCAGGCTCCGAACAACACGGAGCTTCTGGGTGCGCGAAGTGCGTTATTAAGGTAAAAACCAATTGTTTGGTTTGGCCATTGTATGACTGTTTTCTGCCATGTATGCAAGCTAATTTATTGACAATTGTGAGCAGGCCACAGGTGGTGGGGCATTCAAGTACGCAGATCTCTTTAAAGAAAAGCTTGGGATTTCTCTTGACAAGGCAGATGAAATGGACTGTCTTGTGGCCGGAGCAAATTTTCTGCTTAAGGTGGGATCCTAATACCACTTACATAGATTGGTATGTTCAGTTTGGTGCGTTTCCTAAGTCCTGTCATGTGAGCCATAGAATGTGTGGGTTGGGAATTGGGATGAGCACTAGCAAGCTCAAAACGAGAGGAAATTCTCTCTGTTTTCTTTCAGAAGGAAGATCAAAGTGAATGAGTTGTGAAATATGGAACTTGCAAAATTCAGCTTCTGTTTATAGAGATATTTCTTATTGTTTAGCACTAAAGAAATATAGGGATGAACAAAACCACGGACAACTTCGTTGGAAGTTTTCTTTGCTTGTCTGCAAAATTCAGCTTCTATTTATAGAGATATTTCTGCACAAGATACCTCAAGTATTGTTGCTCAGTACTCTATGCGAGTAACTTTATTGCAAATTTTCTGTCTTGTTTGCTTTCTTGCCTGAAAATAGCTTTGCCATTTTGGTTGTTATTTAAGTAGGCAGTTCACCCCGAAGCATTCACATACATGGGTGGTCAGAAAGAATTTGTGAAGATTGACCATGAAGATCTATATCCCTATCTGCTTGTCAATATTGGTTCTGGTGTCAGCATGATCAAGGTATTCTCATCAAAGCCAATGCTTTATTTACTGTAGTAGTTTCATATGTTTAACCTTTTTAAGGCCTGACATTGTCGTATGCATTGTGCTTGGATAGGTAGATGGACCTGGTAAGTTTGAGCGAGTAAGTGGAACTAATGTTGGTGGTGGCACCTTTTGGGGTTTGGGGAAGCTTTTAACAAAGTGCAAGAAGTACGTTGTCTTTTGCTTATGTACAGAGCTATTGATATTCTTGTTATATGACTTCACTTAATAGCCAAAGCTGCTATTGTGTCTCAGTTTTGACGAGTTGCTGGAGTTAAGTCAACAGGGAAATAATAGAGTGATAGACATGCTTGTCGGGGACATCTATGGTGGAATGGACTATACAAAGGTATGCACATTCATGATAGACAGGTCCCTCTTTTGACCTTGGATGTTGAATACGTTCTGGTTGTATTTCTGTATGCCAAATTAAAAGGGTTCCTAAATTTAAACAATGATGAGGGGATCCTAGTTTCCATTAGCTTTCGTATCACGGTACTTAATTGCAATGTAATTTCTCTGATGATTACAGATTGGTCTTGTATCAACAGCCATTGCTTGTAGCTTTGGCAAAGCAATTTCCGATAATAAGGAGCTGGAAGATTACAAACCTGAAGATATTTCTCGGTCCCTCTTAAGAATGATTTCAAATAATATTGGACAGGTAAACCATAGGGAAAGAAACATGTGTCACTTGCAATGAATCAAATTTTTTAAACTATTTGATTCTGTCATAATCTTTTCCAGAAGATTGAAACTATTTTTGTTAACATGCCGATCATATTGTTTCAAATTTTATCTTCTCTCCAGATCTCATACTTGAATGCACTGAGATTTGGGCTCAAGCGAATATTTTTTGCTGGATTTTTCATTAGGGGCCATGCTTACACCATGGACACAATTGCTGTTGCCGTTCATTTCTGGTAAGCCTGTGCGTCAGAATTGATTCATACTAAGAATTGGAAGTATAAATTATGTCAAAATTTGACTGTTGTGTCACATTCTGAGCCTGATTTAGATTTTTACATCCATCTTTCCTTGTGGTTTTGGGGTTAAAATTTCATTCATTTGATCCTTATTTGCAGGTCTAAGGGTGAAGCAAAAGCGATGTTCTTAAAACACGAAGGATTTCTTGGAGCATTGGGTTCATTCATGAGCTATGAAAAGCATGGTTTTGAGGACTTGAAAGTCCATCAGTCGGTGCAACAATCCCCAGTGGGTGCATCCCTCGGAGGTGATAAGAGTCATGATCCACCAAATGGGGACTTGAACGAAAACCAAAGTATAGACTGCAGCGTCTACCTGTCACAATAATTTGCGCTGGCTTCTCCCCGGGGCTTGGATGTTAGATTCGAAAGGCAATTCTTGGTTGCCTGTCTGCATTCTGTGGAGTTCAAAGGCTTGAAACTTCCATAGCGTATGTAACATTGTCGATAAAATACTAGGACATGTATTCAAAACTAAAAAGAGAGAATTTCAGATGGAGAAAGACGAAAACTTTATAGTAGCACATAATGTAATTTCACTTGTTCGATTTTGAATTGTGACCATCCGTCTAGGTTTTGTGTCTTGTCAAAAAACTGTAACTGCGCATCGTTGTTCAATAAAATGAATTCTCAACTGTTACCACAGTTTCGCTTTTTGTATTTAGCTTTCAAACTTCTATTGGCTTCTATTAAGGGTCTATTTCGACATTGTTTTTGAAATGGTTAAAACCGCTTCCAAATATCCAAAATGCTAAAAGTGCTTATGAATTCTAAAAGCACTTTTTGGGGCACAAAAACATAATGTTTAGTGCAAATTATAGCATCTTCTTTCAATGTCATCAGACTCATTACAACATTAACTTAACTTACAAGGCAGACACAACAAACAGTTTCTGACGGGCAATCAGAATGTACAACATACATGGGGATTGAATCATCCTCGATCTCATCCTCCACCCTCGTTGAAAGGGAGGAGTTGATACACGGCGCAAAGGTCACTACACTTGACGGATTATTGACGGTATTACATATCAATTTCCATCATAACGAATAGGGATAAGTGCTGGCATTAAATACTAACTCAACAGAATTCGATCATTTGACAGGCGGTAGCCTCCGATGGCATTGCTTTGCGTTCCTCCTGTGCAAGGCCCATCTTTCTTTGATGTCAGATACATTATCAACGTGACTAAGTACTTCCCCGTCCTGAGACATTTCAATCTCTTTATTAGACTCTTCAGGATTTAATTCTCCTCTTAATCTGGCAGCTTCTGCAAGCATGTCGTTTATCAGCATCTCAGTAGTCCTGCTGGTGATTCCCCGTAGGTACCAAGAAATAGGTGGGGGTGGAACTATAGATGGCTGGATTAGTTGCTCCAAGCTCAACTTTGAACCGATCCTTCCTTTGCCTCCTGTGCAAGAATTATAATCTGCCCATGTCTTGGGTTTGAACGGAAAGCAGGTCTTTTCATCGACAAAAAGAGGTTCCATTCTCCAGCAGCCTTCAAATTTCTCCATAAACCCTGTTTTGACTTGCTTGAACTTCATCTGGCAAATGGCATTTTTAGAAATTAGAAATCTAATTTTACCATGACATCGCACAACATGTTTCTAAACTAATTTTTTTATTATACGATTTGCCGATAAAATAAAGCATACTGGAGATTCTAAATATGTGATGGGGTAACAAAGAACCAGTGGAAATGAAACAAAAAAACCAAGTTCTTATGTTACAGTGCAACTAGAAGAAGATTGAGTCTTACTGAGTGATCTTTTCTGTTTTGATCTACTAAAACACAAACCGCAAAGGTCCCTGACCACCAAAGAAACTTCCATATAGCAGCTTGCTCCAGTTCAACCACCTGCCTATGACCTTCGTCAACCAAAACGTTTCTGGATATCACTTCCTGAGACAGATTTTAACTTTTCGAATTAAGAAATACACAAAGTAAAACGCACTACACATCAAAAAGTAAAAAAGGATTGGTTCCCAGGCCTCTTCAACTTCCAAAGAGAGAGCTGTTGCCAGTTCAATCTGAAAGGAAAGTCGATAGAATAATATCACTTGCCTTAATATTTTTGAAAACCCTCTTATTATCAGGGTCAGTTACAATATTATATACTGCATCCGGGGGCAACCCAACATCAACGCTTACACTGAGGTTGCAAAGAGAACCTTTTGGTACGCTGACCTGCAAAGAGTAACCATATTATGTGACTTAAAGTCAGTAGATATCGAGAGAAGCCACAAACTCTTGAGATATTCCTTCCAAAGAGAATGTGCTTCCGGCCTAGAATTTTTCACTTAACTAACATATGCTACGTGAAGGTCTCCATGTTCAAGGTATGGAAACATGATGCATTTATGCACGAATACTTAGTACATAGGGGACCAAGACTATACATGTAAGAACTTAACTAAAAGGGCGACCCCCAGCCAACAAGCTCCCTGCTTTGTAAGGGTGGGGGAACGTCTATCATACGCAACCGTACCTTTGCTTTCGTGACTTTTCAGTCACCAAGGAGCAACGCCAAGGCTCCCCCTCACATGCAAGAACTTGACTGATACGAAATTATCCTTTCCAAAGAACTTAACAAATATGGTTTAAGAAATGGAATCCATCTTTTCTATTGGCGTCTATTACCAATATGGCATACTACAAGTTTAGAACAGGAGAAAAACGCAATTCTCACCTTCATATCTGGTGGTTGATCAACCCAAGAAGGATTTTCTCTCCAGGCTTGCAACTGCTTCTCCAAGTCAACCTCCAAAGATGCATCCTTTTTCGGTAGAAAGCTCACCGTTTTCACTCCGTCATCCTTTACCAGTCTCTTTAGCTGCGACTGTCACGAGGCGGGTGTCAAATCCATAACGCCACAAGCAAATCACCAGCTTTTAGTGAAATGACTAACCTTTACACAATTTTGCAGCTTCTGAGGAACCTGCAACAACGCTTTGGAAAACGCCAAATTAAAGGCCTTGAGCTTGAGCTGCCCATTTCTCTCGTTCTTGCCAACGTTTACGTTTGTCGTGGTCACCTCTGTCTCACCCATCGAAACAACAACCGTTTACAGCAAATTCAAGACCTTTACTTTCCACATCAAGAAAAAACAAAACCCATCTCAAATTTCAGAGATATCAATCAAACATTAACGGAATAATTAGAGAATTCCCCATCTCAAATTTCAGAAAACCCCATAGCTGTGGAAATTAACCGAACCAACCCAGCAAACAAAGCTCAAGGATTAAGCTGGTAGTAGAATAAATGGGTTAACTTACAGCGGTTAAAGAGAAGATGTAATCGGAAGAATATTCATTCCAGTGTCGAATTTATGAAGCTGATCCAAGAATCGGGTTTTTTATGGTTCAAATTCCCCTTTTTTTTTTTTGGGTCAAAGGTTCAAATTCCCTTTTACCCTCACGGCATTTGTTAATTTTGTGGTTTGATCCTTTTCCATTTATTTCGATCGGAAAAATAAAAATAAAAAAATGCTTAAAAGTTTAAAAAAGTGTGCAAATGACACTAGTGTTGAATTTCTACATGGAGTAACAAACAAATGTTAGGAAGACTAAATTTGTAGATAAATTTTTTTAAAAAAAAAATATGGAAATTGGTGATTGATTTATTATTATTTTTTTTAACAAACGTTAATATCTACACTAAGAAAAAAGGAACTCTTATAATGGATTAGCAATAATATGGTTCAAATTCGCCTTTATCAAGAATCGAACCTAAGACTTCTTACTTATAGGTGAAGAGGAATACTACTAGGTCATAGTACTAAGTGGCAATTGGTTAGTTTATTACTTAAGCGTTGATAAACATGCTTATTCCTATTAGGAACACATAATTTAATTAGTAAATTTTGTCTCCAAATTTTTTCAACAGTCTCATTTTTATTGGAGACACATAATTTAATTTATAAATTTTTTTTTCCATTTTTTTTTCTTTTTCAATGTGGCATATTTTAATTATTATTTGGATTGTCAGTCCCTTGTCAGTAAATAAGTGATCCGCGAGCCATTGTATGAAATTAAAAAAATTAAAAAACGTATGAGTTCAAAATTAGACGAAAACTTAAGGATGCAGAATATAATTTATTTTAAAGGTGATATCTAAAAAAAATTATACAACAGAAAACACATTCATAATAAAATAGATTTCACATGAATAAAAGTTTCTCACGACAAATTTATTTAGGAGACAATCTTCAGGCAAATAAAATGTTCACATTGGATAACAATTTTACATCCCTTAATTAAGCTCTCAAAACATCTTCCATCATGCAATTAGCATAAGACACACAAAACCACCTTGTATAAAACAACATAGTTTACAAAATCCAGATGCATAGGGGAATTCAAATGCCTTCTCAAACTTTACGGCACACATCGCCGTCACAAATATAATCCTCGGTTGCCTTGGGAGGGTCATCATCCTTTGTTCCTCCCGTGTTGCCCAAAGCACATCTTGGGTGGAGATCGAAGTCGCAGTCTTTGCAGTAAAAAGACCAGCCACTTCCCGGCTCCCTACACCAGCAAATATAGTCGTGGTGGAGCACACGAGTGAGCTCGTGTTCAGCATGGAGTATACTCTTCACTTTCTCAGGCCACCCCTTCGCTTCTTCCTCCAGCTTTTCCTCCAATTGCTTCAAGTGCTCTTCGGTGAATGGATAAGCATTAGCTCCATGCGCCTGTATGAGTTGCCGGGCCTGCGTGCTGAGTGTCTGGCCGCTGGGGCTAATGGCTACCAATGCAGGAATTGCTTGGATTTTGAATTTGCGCTGCAGGAGGGTCTTCCTTGGATCGCCTAATGGGATGGCTAACCAAGGCATGGTCCCAAAGAATTCTTCAAAGGAATGATGATCGCGATCGCTTGAGAGGAAGATTATTTCGATTGCATTGTCCTTTGCCTTTATCTGATTGTATGCTTTTATAAGCTTAGGCATGAAAGCACGACATGGACGGCACCAATGAGCTGAGCAATAGAGCAGAAGGTGCTTCCCAGCAAGCTCAGACACCGGTACCTAATCAACACACAACAGAAACTTGAGGCATGCAACTAAAAAACCTCTGACTAATGACAATAAAGAAACATTTGAAATTTAATTGATATCATAGAACATTAGGAAAGGAACCAGCAAGAAAATTGTACCCTGGAACCGTTCTTTTCAACCACAAAGTCTCTGCCCCCAGCAACCAAAAGTGACTGTACAGTCTGTTCTTCGAGTTTCAACTCAGCAAGCTCAGCAATCTTCTCTGCTGTAAACGGATAGGCTTCAGCGCCATACTCTTCAATGAGTTCAGCCGCATTGGAGTGTAAGGTCTTCCCATCTTGCCCAATTATAACTAGTCTAGGTAAGCTCTCAAGGGCAAAGTAGCGACCAAGTTTTTCGCAGTTCTTGTCCTTAAACGGCAATGCCAACCATGACACTTGAAATCCTTCTTTGAAGTGTTCCTCTTCAAGGTCTAGAGATATCAATACAATCTCAAAGTTCTCTCCCTTCTCCTTCAGTTTCTCATGGAACTTCACAAGTGCCTGAGTAAATTCTTTGCATGGCTTGTGAGTATAAAGCGAGAAATACAACCCAACAATCTTTCCTTCAAGCTCGGACACGGAAACCTGTCAATACATTTTTTCGGTATTCCTGATCATCAACTATCTCAATCATATAAAATCAATAGCAATCCAACATTATAGAAGTGCTAGCAATGTAGCATCAAAGGGGAAAAGTTGTACCTTATTCCCATCCTTCGAAATCAAATAATCCCGGGACTTAGAGACCAAAAGAGAACTCAGGGACTGATTCTCCTTCGCCGCGGCCTCCTGCTCAATCAAGAAATTCATCTTCTCCGCGGTAAACGGATAACCATCCACGCCGTGGTCCATCACAATTTTAGTTCCATCATCAGTGGAAACCTTCCCATTGGCATCAATAATGGCAAGATGGGGAATCCCCCTGACTTTGAAGAACTCCTTGAGGCGTTTCAGGGTCTCCATATCCGAAAGGGAATCGAAAGCCAGGGCATTTTAGAGAAGTATCCATTGAACGATTCCTCATCTCTATCAGAAGAGATGAACACAACTTCAAAGTCGCCTTTGGCAGCCAAGTCCTGGTAAACCTCCTCCAATTTTGGGGTGAACCGGCGGCAGGGGCCGCACCACGAGGCGGAGAAATACAACCCCACAATCTTTCCAGTCAAACTACTGATCTTAACCTACATATTCATCATAAAATCACCATTTTACCCAGAAACCAAAAACCTGCCATCTCAATCTTTCATATCATAAATGCCAAAGCCAACATTTTGAAATAGAATTAGGCAATTCCCGAGCATTTAATCAACTGGGTTTCAATTATAATTACATTTAAGGATGTATTCAATTGAGAATTTGATAAATTTTAATTGATTTTTATAGAGTTTAATTGATTTGTAAAGATATTCTCTCAAAATCTCATAGAGAGATGTGAGATTTGTAGATACTTAAAATACACTTCCTTCTAATTCCTCAACTTTCTCAAATTCTTTAAAATCAATTTCTAATTAAATACATCTGAACTGTTATAAACTTCTTTAAAATCCTAATTGAACACATCTGAATTTTTCAAATTTTTAATAAACTATCATAAAATTCTAATTAAAGACACTTGAATTTCAAAAATTCACTTTAAAATCCTGATTGAATACCTAGATTTATTAAAAAAATTAAAATCCTTCAAAATCACAATTAAATTCACTCCCTTAGATTAACATTTCAATACTTCACGAACGGTATAAAAATAGTTTCCTGCAATCTTAACGAACATAAAGTCGGAAACTTTGATGAGAAAATATAATGGTTATACTTTTACCTGGTCGCCGTTGTTGCGGAGGAGGAAGTTTCTGTCGGCGGAGGCGAGGAGAGAAAGGAGGTTGTGAGAGACGCCGTGTACGTCGCCGTTAGCCATGCTTACTGAGTCTCTCTATCTCTGCGTGCTGCAATTGGAAAGTTTGGTGGTGAGAGTCTGCGACTTTTTTGCGTATCGTCAAGGGCACAAGTTACCACTGAGAATATAATAATAAAGACACGCAATAAACGAGCTGACCGGCTAAGGGCTTCAGTTGGTCGCTTTTTTTTATTATTATCCCTAAATGTAAATCCCACGAGGTAATAGTTTTTTTATTTAAAAATAGTAGTTATTGTTGAATTTACGACACACTCATGAACAATTAAAAATAGAAGATCATAGCACTAGGACGGTACGAAAAATGAATAGATGAAATAGAAGATTTATATTTGTGAAAATCAAATTAATGACTATAAAACTTGTAAAAGGATTATGCTAGAGAAATTTAAATTTGTAAACTAAATGACATAAAGTTGATGATTAAATTATTACTTAAGTGTTGATTAATCTGCTTATTTTTTTATTCGTAACACGTCATTTAATTTGCAAATTTAGTCTACCTAGCATTACTGCGTGTAAAATGCTTGTATGTAAATCATGTAAATGCAATTTTTTTTTTTTTTGTTGGAATATATACATTGTGGGACTTGCTACAATTTGAATGTATTTAAATAATACAATGAAACATCTGATAATCATAGAATTCATGTGAATATATGTATCCACAAAGAACCCATGCTCGTTTAGAAAGTGCTTTTAAATGACTGAAAATGTTTTTAAAGAAAATGTTATCGGGTTCCTTTTAAATGATTGAAAGTGCTTCTAACGAAAATGTTATTGAGTTTCATTAGCATTAGTTATGTACTTTTCCATGATTAACTTACATTTTTAATAAAAAATTGCTTTAGAAGTATTTTCTCAAAAAATACTTTTAATCATTTATAAGTATTTTCCAAACAAACTTGGGTCATGAATGGATAAGGGAGACGAGTTTGGGTCAAAACCTCCTTATCCGTAGTGCTCCCTGTCGTAAACAGCATTTCTGGTGTTGATGGGGTGGGTGGGGCGTGGGGGCCTCATTTGTGGAATTTATGAGCGAAAAAAGAAAAGGTGACAGAGACATGGTAGGGTACTGCTATATCTTAATTTTAATTTTACGTGTCACACATTTTTTAAATGTTTTATCATCGAATATTGAATTTTTTATCCTCATATTAGACAATTTATCTTTATTTTTTATCGTTGAATCAATTCAACTAAAGAAGATTAATGATAAAAAATTAAAATTAACAAGAAGTGTAAACGGTAAAAAATAAATGTATGAATAACATTTTTCATATTTTTCTGCTAACTAAAGCGCCAAAAAAAAAAAAAAAAAACTAA